AGTGGTGTGACTGCGTTTGGTGAAACTTGGGGCTCACTGACCGGGTGGTCCCCAGGTTGGCCCCTCAAAGGGAGGCCATGATCACCTGTTCGGTACGTGAGGAAGCTTGTTGAGGACAGGCAGGGTCCAGCCTTATCACTTTACAGATAGGTGAAGGCCAGAGGGGTTTGGTGACCTGTCCTGGTCGCACAGTCAGTGGCAGAAGACCTAGATTCTGAGATCTGCCTTGCCTGAGGGAAAACTGGGAATGAGACAGCATTGCTTCTCACATGGTGGCGTTGGCCCTGTCCACGTGGTCTTCCTCCTTCCTCTGGTTTTCCTCCCTCAGCCTGGGGCCTGCCTTTCAGCCTTGAGCTCTCTCTCCTGCTTGTGTGGCTGGGCTAACAGAGAATGTACTCACATTCAGGGCACATCAGTGCCTGTTGTCTCCCCCATGTATCCCTGGAAAATACAGCTTGTTTTACGGAGAAAGAAGCGGAGGGACAGAGGTTTTGACAAAGTAACACTGCTGTGGGGAGGTGTGTTAATTTCCTGTTGCTGCTGTAACAAATTATCACAGACGTGGTGGCTTTAAACAACACAAATGTATTAGCTTACACTTCCAGAGGTGTGAATTCTGAAAGTGGTCTCATTGGGCTAAAATCAAGGTGTCAGCAGGGCTGCCTTCCTTCTGGAGGCTCCAGGAGGTAAGTGATTTCCTTTCCTCTTTGCTGCTAGCGGCCATCGCACTCCTTGGCTCATGGCCCCTTCCTCCATTTTTACAGCCAGTGATGGCTGGTCCGGTCTTTCTCCTATTGCATCACCATGTCGCTGGAAGGACCCCTGTGGTTAGAGCCACCCAGATAATACAGGATGGTCTCCTTTAAGATCAGCTGGTTAACAACCATCTACTGCCTTAGTTCCCCCTGGCCCTGTAACAAAACATATTCACAGCTTCCTGGATTAGAATGTGGATGATTATGCTACCTACCATGGTATTATTACTACCTACCATGGGTATTATTCTACCTACCATAGGAAAGTGAGGCCTTAAAACTCAGGGCTTTTGGTTCAAAGTCTGTGATGCCTTCAAATACCAACAAGGAAGCCTGTTGTGACTTGATTTCCCAAGGCCATTTAAACCCACAGGATCCCAAGAGCAACTGCCCTCCCTAATTACAACCTGCTGTCCTGTGCCCACTCTCTGCCTGGCAGAGCATTTTGTGAAAAACCTGTTGGATGGCAGTCTGTGTTATTTTAGTGACCCAGACCAGAGGTGTAGGACTGAGTTTCCACTTCATGGCTTTGTGCAGTGACACACCAGGGTACAGAGTCCAGGAAAAGGGAGTAAATCCTTTCATCTCACACATAGGTGGTCTTTGGCCACAGCAGACCTGTAATCCTCTCTGCTGTAGGGCAAAGTTTGCCACTCACTGAAGCTCTTGAGTGCATCGTAAAGGACTCTGCTTCATTAGCTGTCCTTTTCATGTGTTCTAGAAAATAAACAAAAAATTAAATGTAGTTGCTACCATACAGCAACTTACTTGTATTAGAGTTAGGTGGGCTGCTATTTCTTTAATTCCGACACCAGTCGTGAAGAATTTGTTCTGAACAGTGAAGCTTTACCAAGACACATGTAGTTTCCTTTCTTTATCCAGCATGTAATTCATGAGAGTCAAGGATGTCTGTATTTATCAGTCCAGCCGCATTCTCCCTATTACCCATCTTCACCTTCAGATCTTTCCACCTGGTATCTGGTACCTTCCGTGTATCCAGCCGTGTGCTAGGCATGGAGGGATACAAGAAATGGAAGACACGGCGTCTAACTATAAGACACACTTGGGAACTTAAGTGACTGTGCTCAGCTTGGTGATCACACACAGACTCGGTTCTGAAAAAGTCTCCAAGCAGAAAGATTGGATATGCACAGAGAATTGGGGCTTTCCTCCAGGCTGGATGAACCAGGGAGAACTTTCAGAACAGGGACCCCTTTCTGGAGGGTGGGATTTGAGTGGGAGAAAAAGAAGGTTGTTGAGAGAAGGCGTGGGGGCAGCTATTCACACGGCCCAAATGGGGTTTGTCTCCTAGGCTTTGCTGGTTTGGTCAGGTGCAGGGGGGGGCATCATGGCTACACGTGGAGGGCCATGTTTGGGGGCAATCTCTCAGTTACTGGATACTCCCCAGGCCATGGTTAGGACACCCATAATAGGAGCCTTGCCTCCCCTTCCCACCCTGGAGAAAACAAGAAGCCTGGGCTGAGGAGGGGGCCTAACACCCTACAACTGTGGCCCTGGGCCCAGCTGGGCCAGGCTCTGCTGGGCTCCACAGGCCTTCATTGTTCCGGGCGTCTTGTTGCTTTTGTTCTGCATTCAGTGCCAGCCCCGCTCTGGGTCTGCAGGGGAGCGGGCTTTGGCCAGCTGCGGAACCACAGCAGTGTGAGCCCCTCATGTTCCCTGTCTTCTGCAGGAAGCTGCGGACCTGTCTTCCCTGAAGCCCAAGCTGGATGAACTGGGAGTCCCCCTGTATGCAGTGGTGAAGGAACAAATCAGGACCGAAGTGCAGGACTTCCAGCCTTATTTCAAAGGAGAAATCTTCCTGGATGAAAAGGTGCATCTCCTGTGAGCCTGTTGACACAGACTGGTGGGGACTGTGCTCAGGTGTGGAGAGCTCGTTGGCCAAGGGTATGTCTGGCCTGGAGCTGGAGGCTGGCCTCTCTTTCGGCTGCCCTGGACGTGGAGGAGCTTGTGCAGCCCTCTGGGCAGAGTCTGATGGGACACGTGACAGGTGTCCTCTCAGTTATTACTTGAGCCCTTCCTGAACTGTGACCTGGGCACGGGAGCCTGGGAAATTGCTGAAGCCCCGCTGGGTTCTTGCACCATGCAGGCGGGGACCAGCACAAGCCCCTGTCCCTTACTTCATTGCAGCCATATTCCTTTCCCCTCTGCTCTCACCTGTGCAGGATGTTGGACTGTTAGCACCCTGTCGGGCACAAGAGCCCTGTGTGTGTCTGGCAGGGGGTTAGAGGCAGAGTGGAAAGCTGCATATCTGTTTCCCGAGCGTGGGCCTGTCCTGGGATCGGAAGTTGGCCTGGCAGGGTTCTCTTTCCCTGGGCAGTTGAGAGTGCTCTTGAATGGGAGCTGTGTGTGGGTTAGGTTGCGGGGAGGACATGAAGCAGCAGGTTTTGGGTCTTTGAGAATGAATGCCCCGTTGGGAACCTTTCCTCCTTGGGGAAGGCAGGCAAACAGGCTGCTCCAAGGGGCTCTGTCTTTCTTGCTCCTGCAGAAAAAGTTCTACGGTCCCCAAAGACGGAAGATGATGTTTATGGGATTTGTCCGTCTGGGTGTCTGGTACAACTTCTTCCGAGCCCGGAACGGAGGCTTTTCTGGAAATCTGGAAGGCGAAGGCTTCATCCTTGGGGGAGTTTTTGTGGTGGGATCAGGAAAGCAGGTAAATTCCTCATGTTCACGTATGGATCTGTGGGTGTCTGTAGGCACAAGACCCCAATGTGGGGAGTGACCTTCCCTACTTGGAGTCTTGCAGCCTTCCTTCCAGAAAGCCAGGGAATGTGAGGAAGGAAAAGAGAGGGTAATTACCCTTTACCACACATCTGCTCATAGGCCACCTCACACTCGAATCTCCTCACTCATCACAGTAATGTCCTGAGATGGTCTGGGGGTTCTGCAGGCCAGTAACTGGGGACTGAGAGGTGTGGGTGAGCACACGCCTGCATCCGGGTTTCCTGATGTCAAGTTCTGTCTTCGGCGCTTGAACAAAAGCGTTGTTTTTATTCTTTCAAGAACTTACTCCCCTGCAGTTTTCCCAGGTCATCAGGGATGGACAGTAGAGAAAAGGAAGAGGAGAGAAGGAAGAAAAACAACCTGAATTAGGGGGAGTAGCAAGGAGATGTGGGGGAAGACAGCACTTTTCCCTGTGGGGTGCCGCTCCGGAGAGGTAACAGACTTCTCCGCAGACAGGCTGCTCTGGGCCCTGGCTCTGAGGCTCCAGGGTCAGCACAGGGACCCTGTGGGCCCTGGAGGCAGGTGGGTGGCAGCTCCGTGTTGACTGTGGGCAGCCTTGAGCTGGGGGGGCTCCCCTGTGCTGGAAGGCAGTGCCTTCAGATGCCAGAGCAGGTGTGGGGTGAAGTAGATGCAGTTTCAAGGGCCCGACAGGAGGACCTCGAGACTGATGGCCTGACCTCTAGTCGTGTCTTTCCCAACTTTGGACATCACATTAACACTAGGCCTCCTCTGTAAAAAGACGGTATTATTTGCAATGGTGGATCTCACTGCTAACGTTAGTAATTGCACACTTCTCTCAGTTTGGGAGGAATAAAAGCTACTAGGAATAGAAATCTTTCAATTTTAAGTTCTTCTAATCTCTTCCTTTTAAACCTTGGTAGCTGCTGTTGCTTGTCTGTATTAGAATCTCACATAGATTGGTGTCTGATATAATACAAACCTATTTGCTTCCTTTCTGTTAAATATACCAAAATGTCTTAGTGATCATGGCTGCCAGCGAATGCCTGCCTTGTTCTGAACCCTCATGTATATCATCTCATACCTTCCTCACAACCAGTCTGGGATGTTAGGGATTTTTATTCCCATCTACATGTAAGGAAATGAATTATGAATGATATGAAATAACTCCACCAAGAGATACACAGCTGTATCTGTGGTAGTGGTACAGTGGAAATGGAACTCAGGAACTCAGACACGTCCTGCTCCAGAGATCCCCATCCTTCCCCCGCCCAAGGCCTCTCCTCAGCAGTGGTTCCCAAAGACCCCTTCCAGATGCCCTTGTGCTTGGGCAGGCCCCTTCCCGAGACAATCAGTCGCCCAGCCTCTTCTGGCCCTGGCGCAATGGGATCTGGGATTCCTCCGTCCTCCCTCACTCTTGCCTTCCCTCAGCCTCTGGGGCAGGGCAGAGCTCGCTGGCGGCCTTCTCTTGCCTGCCAGTGACTCATCTGGTGCTCACAGCCCCCCAGCCCGGCTGGCACATTCCTGGTGCTGCTAGCTATGTTGTTGCACTTCGTTGGTGCTCCCTGGAGCGCAGCCTTCTTCCTTTCTGGTGGCAGGTGGAGTGGCCTGGCTGAGCGGCGGGACCTGCCTCCAGGATTCTGGAGAGCAGAGTTTTCGCAGTCCCCCCAGTCAGCTGCCACTCAGTGGGGATTTCCTTTGTAATAGTAATCGTTAAAGCACGCTTACTTTAAAGAAGCGATGTGTTTTCAACATAGAAGATTTGAAAACGCAACAGTAGAAGGTGAGGAGAGCCGTTCTGTAAGCTCAACCACTGTGCACAACCCGCCAGAACAGAACAGAACTGAGAAGCCTCTTATTTTTTTTTTTAGAAAATCTCACTAGATATTCTTTTTTCATTTAACAGTGTATCATGAACATCTCCTATGTCAGTATATATTCTTCCTCAGTACTTTTAATGTCCGCATACTGCTTTATTAGACATGTAAATATAGTTTCCTGATCTGCTTCCTTGTAGTCACCTCATTGTGGTGGGACTTTTTGGGTTTTTTAAAAAAGTCTTCATAAGTAATGGTGCAGCAAACGTATTTATGGATGTTTGTTTGTTTATTTGTTTTGTTAAGATGAGCTCCCTGATGTCCTGGGTCGAGGAAGTTTTTCACAAGTGTTCCTCGATACTGATCTCAAACACACTATTTTATGTTTTTTACCACTTTCGTGTACTTTGGTGTATCCTCTCTCTTAGAGCATTTTGCTTCACAGTATCAGGAGCGGCCTCTGCTTTCTTAGGAAAACTAAGTCAAGAGAGGGTGTGTCTCCCTTTTCAGATGGTCAAACTCTGACCTCTGAGCTCCACTTGCACACCTCGAGGCTTTTCTCTGGAAGCTCATCCTCTGTCAGCTCTCTCTCCGCCTGGCGTGGTCTTTTACTTCACCTCTACGTGTAGACACGTGGCTGCCTTCCATGCTGTATCATCTGTGAAGCCTTCCCTGATCACCCCATTATACTGCCCCACGTAGATGTCCCTCCTGACTTCCTGCTCCCACAGTGCTGCTGGTACAGCCCACCCGTTGTGATGTGACCTTCCCTGGTCCCATTTTGCCACCAGAACTGAACCCCTCGGGAGCACAGCCAGGCCTGACCCAGATCTCTGGCCGCTGCTGCCCAAGCTGCCACTCAGTGTCTGTCCCATGAATGAGTGACTCAGAGTGAGGACTGATGTTCCTTCTTGTTTCCTTTTAGGGCATTCTTCTCGAGCATCGAGAAAAAGAATTTGGAGACAAAGTGAACCCAGTTTCAGTTCTGGAAGCTGTTAGGAAGATCCAACCCCAGACTTTGGCTGCGGAGGCAAAGTGATCATGTGAAACTGCTCAGGGATAACTAGGGGCACTCACCTGTGTCCTGGGATGTGCTATATCTCCACTCATGTCCCCAGAGAGTTAGAAACCCACTTATGCCATATTGTCAGTAGAGATCGTTAACATATTTTAATCCTGTGCTCTCTTTAGGCCCAATAAGGCAAAATAGCTCCCAGACAAGACTGATAAGAATCTAAGAAACCAGTGAAGGTAATTTCAGCTAAAACCTGGAAAATATGAGGCTTAGCCTTGACTGCTGCACCTCCTTAAAACGTACGTGGCGTGAGTGCCGTTATCGGAAATGGCTTTTATTTTCATGTTTTCAAAAATCTAAGAAAAGTTGATGATTGACTTGAAGATTCAGGATATGAAGGCTTGGGGCTTGTGTGTTCTCTATTAATGACCTGTTATACAATGTTAAAGTAATACGCAAAGGAATTGGTGGACACTGGATGGCTTACTAAAAGTAAATTATGAAGTGAAATCTATTTTTTCATCGTCTTCCATTCTAACCTCAGAGGTTTGTTTTTCTAGAAGAAGTGATCATGTCTGGCTCTAATAAAATTATGTATCAGAAATTGCCTGTAATACAAGTTTTTCTGATAAAACTAACAATAAAAATATTTACCAGAATCATGGCTGAATTTAAATCATTGGTGCCAAAGACGTTGAACGTGAAAAATCCGGGTTCTCCATGCGTATGAGGTAAGGGGTAGTGGTGGGGGAGCCCCTCTAGTTCTCATGCTCTAGGAGGTTTGCAAGTGACCAAAGAAATTCATCCTGTCGTTCGTGTTAGTGATTTTGTTGTCTTCCCTAGGGAAATGACGGGTTTTTAAAATTGGTAGCTGCTTTCCTACTGATAGTCTTTCAGCCTAATTTGAGGGGAATGAGGAGAAGGGACAGAGAGGATGAAATATAATTTAATTCATTAATTTGTTATATTTGAATTTTTGTCATATGTGTAAGTATGAGATCAGCGAAAGCCCAGAGGTGGGGGGGGCTCTGCCCTGGGAGTGGGAGGGTGGGGATGGGAGTCCAGTGAAGAAGGGACCAGGGAGCAGACCGGCCAGGAGCGGGAGTCAGTGTTTAGCCAGGAAAGTAAGAATGAGGACAGTGGGAGCTGGAGCTAGAAGAGCATCAGCATTGAGCGCAGAGCGTAGGGGCAGCTGGTGCAGGACTAAGGCTGGGTGCAGCTCTGACGTCATGCGGAGCCAGCAGCGCCGCGTGCGCACAGGCCTGCAAAGGGCTAGGCTTCTGCGGGCTTTGAGCAACCCTCTTCAGTCCTTGAGCAGGGTCGGTGTAGTGACTCATCCCCTAGTAGCCGTGCTCCCGGGGACTCCAGCCACAGGTAAGAGAACTCAGATCAGAATTCCCCGGTGCCTAGGCAATGCTTGTTTCCGAAACGGTTCTCTTGCAACTACAGAAGACTAGAACCTGCAAGGACATGGCGGCGAGGGTGCACGAAGACAGGCCTTACTCCTTCCCCCACAGTGTCGCTGCTGGGCCCTCATGTGCAGTGTGCTCTTCTCTCCCATTAGCGCCACATCGTGACTGACCCATGAAGTGGGTTCCAGTTTCCGGTTTAACCGTGTGACTGAGCAGAGCTCCGACCTTCAGCTCCTTCACTAGTAAAATGGGCATCGTAATTCCTGTCTAGCATTCAGGGCTGTTTATTAGAAGTCATTGAGGGAATGATGAATATAAAACAGTGCTTCTCAAAAATTAATGTATGTGCAGAGGCACCTAAGAATCTTTTTAAAATGGAGGCAGTTAAAGAAAAGCCAGATGCTCATTAAAGGCAGGAAAGACATTGATTCGGTGACCACTGCAGTAGGGGAGAGGCCTCCATATGGGACTGAGCTCAACTGGGCTCTGTGCAGAGATAACTGGAATTTTAAAGGGTGATGAAGGAGGGGGCAGGAGACAAGCGATGCCTTGAGTAGAGTCAGAGAAGTGGAAAATTACTGAAAGTGGGTGGTGGGGATTGGTCAAGGTGATGAATCTATCTGTGTCTGCTAACCAGCTAGCTTATTAAGTTAGGCTTCTGCCCTCCCACAGAGACTGGGAGATGGAGCCCTATCTGTTTTGAGGGTTATGCTTCAAAGGGATGACTCTCAGGTCCTTGGGACAGACACTCCTGGGTTTCAGGAGATGGACAGATATCTCAAAGGGACAGAGAAAGGGTATACAATTGTAATTTTTTTTTAAGTAAATGCTCTAAGGAAAGGGAGGTCAGAGGGTTATGGTCAGGTGTTTGGCTGAAACAAATGGTAAATTCTTTTGGCAGCCTTGAGTTTTCCCAGGCAGGGTCTCAAGGGGTGCTGGGTTGTCCCAGGGAAACAGTCTTGAGCTGCTAGAAACTATGCTAGTGTTTGTTCAAGTCTCCTAGTTGGGGGGAGGGGGTAGACAAAATTGTTTGTGCTCAAAGTTTTACAGTTCTCAAGACTGGGCTGGGGTTGGAGTTTCTGCATTCTAACAAGCTCCTGATGGTCTTGGCATTCTCTTGGTCCATGGCTCACACTCTGAGAAGCAAGAATCTAAAACACCCTACAAATCAAAGACAATATCTGTGGGCTTTGGACATCGAAACTTCAGCAGCCTTTGACAAGCATTAATTAGCAGGTTCCCTTTTCCTTATTTGAAAAGGAATTGACAATCCATAATAATGCAAACTATCAAGAGAATCCAAGAAAGAGTCCTTGCCGGAAAGCTGATGGTTCTCAGTTTGGATACACAGTAAGACCACCTGGGAAGGTTTAAAAAAAATTCTGATGCCTGTTCACACCCCCAGACCCATTAAATCCGAATCCTGAGCTAGGACACAGGCAACAACAGTTCTTAAAGCTACAGGATGATTCCAATATTCCAAGGTTGAGAACCATCCCCAAAGACCTCAGTGTCAAGTCTGGAAGACCAGTGCTCACACATTTAGGAGAACTTACCCAGAACCAGGGGGCCCCTGATAATCCCTGAGTCTTCAGGTGGCAAGGGTCAGGGATGGTTTAGACGTGGATGTGGGGGAAGTCAGGCTAAAACTGAATTTTCAAGGTGGAGATTTGGATAAAGACCTCATTTCAGGCAGAATCAAGTCCCTGAACCAAGATATAGCGAGAGAAAAGGTAAATAGTAGGTATGGGAGAACAGGGAGTAGTCTGATCTGTTTTGCTTACCCGATTCAATGTCCTCTTGCCCAATATACGGATTTCTCAAAAGGAGTGCCCTTTCCACATGGATGATTATTTTAAAATAAAACTATTTTACTGGGGGTGGGGGTGGGGCACGTTGAAAGCAGTGCCTGTTTTCCCAGAGCTAGGCATATTTGGGGTGATGGAGGGATGGGGGGCTGGTAGAGAAGGTGAGCTGTGGGGAAGAGGCGGTAGGAGGTTGTGTGTGTAGCGGGTAGATTGGATCAAAGGGTCCAGCTGAACACTACTCCTCAGCCCTGGCTCTGTTTCCTCTATTCTCAGTTGCTTATGTCCCATGGGGCAAGTAGGCAGGTATGTACTTGTGAGTTTATGTTTGGGAGGGATGGGGAAGGTTAAGTTATCTTGTTCTGGTTTGGTTCAAATCCTTTTCTAGGTTTAAAGGAAAAGGGTGTCTTTTAAGGTTAGTTTGTTTTTAAAGCAATTACCATAAAGGATGATTGTGGGAGGGATCCCTGGATCTGGGGGAGGGGGATCCATTCAAGGACATGCTCTTCCTGGGTACACCGGGTCACTCTTCTGTGTTACGTAATGATGGTCCGGGCCAACCCAACAAACTAGTTTAAAGTGGGAGTCAGTTCTTCCCATAATTTAGTAAGAGCACAGGGAGTGACGCGATGGATGTACTACTGGAGACAGTTGGCCAGAGGGGGCCTCTTTCATTAAATATTTGGGCAGACACCTAGGAGAAGTAAGAAGGCAGGTCTTGTTAACCTCAAAAATAAGTGTTTTTTAAACAGCAAGAACGGGTTTATTCAGGAGTAGTAGAGAACTGCAACTCATGACACACAAGCTGTGGCAAAACCCACAGGCAAGCCCAACAAAGAGGCGGAATGTTATTTTATGGAGAACAAGGAAGAAGCTGGACGGGTTATTTTGAACCAAAGTCCATCAGAGAAAAGCAAGGTTTCAGGGCGACAATGTTTCTCATTGGCTAAGTTGCAAGGAGTTGTCAATTTCTTGTAGGAGATGCAATATACATATTTTCCTGTTGGAGCCTGAAATTGATGATTCTTTCCTGTTGTGGATTTTGTTATTGACCATTTTTCCTGTAGTTGAGTGGTATGGCTCCCCCTTCTAGCTTGCCCAGTCTACTTAAATGAAGTTTCTTTTTATTAATTTTCACAGTCTTATGAATACTGGAGGAAGAACATTCCAGGCAGAGGAAGCAGCAACAACATACAAAGGCCCAGAGGTGGAGATGAGATTGTTATGTCCAAGGGACAATAAGAAAGCAAGAGCAACATGAGTGAAGAAGGAAAGGTAGGAGATGAGATCAGAAGGTGGGGAGATGGTAGAAATGCATGCCAGGTTGTTCTGGCAAGTCATGGTGAGAACTTCTGAATTTTACTAAAAGAGATGGGAATCCATTGGAGGGTTTTGAGAAGAGGAGTAAAATGATCTGATTTATATTATCCTGACTGCTTTGAGATAATGATTGTAGAGGATCAAAGGTTCCACCAGGGAGACCACTTAGGATGCTGTTGCACAAATCCAGGCAAGATAATGGTGGAACCAGGTGGTACCAGTAGAGGGGTGAGAAACTGCCAGATGCCAGGTATGTCTGAAGGCAGAGCTAAGAGGATTTCATGAACAACTGGATGCGGGATGAAAGAGAAAGTCAAGGATGACTCCAAGATCTGGGGCCGAGCAACTAACTGCACATGAATTTTCAGTAGAGGGGACAGAAGATGATAAGCTCGAGGAAAGGCTTTCGTGTGCTACAACAGTTACAGTGAATGGACCAGAGATGTAAGTATCAACTTGGGATGCATCCAAACAGCGCTAGGGTGGAAAACAAGCTTCCAAATGGTACATTCAATAGGATGCAATTTTCATAAATTTTTAAGACACATACAACAGTATTGTTTAGAACTCCATATATACATAGTGAAGTGTAAAAACATGTATGGGATGATAAACGATGTGCAGCCAGGGTTGAGCACCATCTGGTTGCTTTACACTTTAAAAAATCCTATTGCTCAGGACAGATCCTAGAATGTCTGGGGATGGACCCAGGTGTCATTTTTTTTAAGCTCTCTGGGGATTCCACTATGGAGGCAAGGTGGAAAACCACTGCCTTAAATTGAGAAATGACTGTGAAATCTGAGAAGCACATGGAATTTTCCCTTTTTATGTCTAAGCCTTGGACAGATTATGTTTTATTTATTTTATTTTTGTTTTGTTTTAAAGTTTGTTTATTTAAGTAATCTTTACACTCAACGTGGGGCTCAAATTCATGACCCTGAGATCAAGAGTCGCATGCTCCTCCAACTGAGCCAGCTAGGCGCCCCTGGGCAGAGTACCTGTTTTAGAGTTAGGCAAGAGACACCCATGTCCTGATTTCCACGTTGTTCAGCCGGGAAACATGAAGAAACTCTCCCATGAGGCAGCCAAGCTCAGCCTGTGGTCTTCTGACATCCAGTGGAC